TGGCAAGATCAAGGTCATAGGTGACTCTTGAAAAGCATTTCAGGGGCACCTGACTGGCTCAGAAGATAGAGCATGCAACTCTTGATCCCAGGGTTATGAGTTCAATTCCCACGCTGGGTATGGAGATTATTTAAAAATAAAATCTTGGGCGCCTGGGTGGCTCAGTTGGTTAAGCGACTGCCTTCGGCTCAGGTCATGATCCTGGAGTCCCGGGATCGAGTCCCGCATCGGGCTCCCTGCTCGGCGGGGAGTCTGCTTCTCCCTCTGACCCTCCCCCCTCTCATGCTCTCTGTCTCTCATTCTCTCTCTCACAAATAAATAAAATCTTAAAAAAAAAAAAAAAGTAAATAAATAAATAAATAAATAAAATCTTAAAAAAACACACACGCACACAAAAAGCAAAACAAAAGCATTTGGGGTGGGGGACCTACTATAGAGAGCGAAAGAGAAAAAGGGATGTGAGAAAGTACAGAAAAGGGATTTTCAGAAAAGTTTTCAAGGATTTTTGTTATAAAGGAGCATATATGAGTCTGAATGAAGAAAAGTCTGAGCTAGAGTTATAAATTAGTCATAAATATACAAATAATACAAGCTTATTGTGCACTCACTGTATGTCTGGTACTGTTCTCAGTGTTTTATGTACATTAATCCATTTAGTCCTGTGAAAAGTCACAGCTACCTATTATGACTCTTATCCACTTTAAATTCATGGTCGCAAACTTCACGTGGGAAGTCAATGCTGCCAAGTTATCAGTTGTTCCCTGGTCCATTCATACTTCCATTCTTCTCCTAGATACTGATTCATCTCTTTCTTTTCCTACCACTTCAAACCTATCCCTCCCTACCTGCTCTCAGTGAATGACTTTGCTTCCTATTTCTTGAGAAAATAGAAGGAATCATAAGAGAACTTCCACAAGCTTCCAGTACCATGAACTCTAACCAACCTGTGCTCCATCACTCCTGGCACTACGGATGGATTGCCCATGCTCCTAGAAAAGGCCACCCCTCCACATAAGTTCTATATCCCATTATTCAAAAAAGTCTTTCCTCTCTCTACTAGCATCAATTTTACTTCTCAGCTTAATCCTTCTCATCAACACATAAACATTACTGTTATTTCTTTCTTCCTAAAAAATAAAATTTCCCTTACCTTACTTCCCCCTACAGTCACTGTCCCAATCTTTTCTTTCCTTAAAAAAAAAAAAAGTAGTCTAATTTTCTTAATCTCTCTCCTCTAATTTCTCTCCTCCAATGGGACTTTCATCCCAATCCACCACTACACCAAAATTCTCAGTAAGGCCACCAGTTACCTCCATATTGCTAAATATGTGTCCATTCTAAGTCTGCATCTCATGTGACCTGTCATTAGCATGCTTGTCTTCCATGCCATCACACCCTCCTGGCTTCCCTCTTACTTCTCTGCCTCCTCTTCTCAGTCTTCTCTCTTGGATCTTATCTCTCACTCTCTAACATCAGGGTGCCTTAGGGCACTTCTTTACCTGGGCATGTGACTTTCCAGAATAAAGATTACATTTTCCAGCTTTCTTTGCAAACTGTGAGGCCATATGACTACAAGCCAGTACAAAAATGTCCTTAAAGTGACAGGGTATGCTATTCGTCATTGTTTTTTCTTCTTAATTCCTGGAACTCAAATGTGATGGCCAAAAGCTAGAACATCCATGACGGACTTTGAGGAGAAAACATGCTGAGAATAGCAGAGCAGCAAGATAGAAGGAACTAGAGACTCTGAAGCATCATATATGTCCTGGACCAACGCCTTGGACCTCTTTTATACAAGAGAAAATAAACTTCCCTCTTGTTTAAACTACAGTATTTTGGGTTATGTTACATGCAGCTAAACTAAACTGTGCTCATTTTTTTATATCCTTTGCCTCAGTTGGTGATACCACCAGCCAACCAGTTAGCCCCTGGAGAAAGCCAGAAATCAGGCCTGTTTATTAACCAATCCCACATCTCACTTCTGCCCAAACACATAGGCACACCTGATCAATCATCAGATTCTGTTTTATCTCTTAAATAATTCTCTATTCAATTTACTCACCTCCAACCAATTTTACCACCTCTGTTCTTTTTTCTTTGAGGGGGGGTTCCTTTTTTATTTAAATTCAATTAATTAACATATAGTGTATTATTAGTTTCAGAGGTAGAGTTCAGTGATTCATCAGTTGCATACAACACCCAGTGCTCATTCCATCACGTGCCCTCCTTCGTGCCCATCACCCAGTTATCCCAGTCCCCACAACTCCTCTCCAACAACCCTCAGTTTCTTTCCTATGCTTAAGAGTCTCTTATTGTTTTTCTCCCTCTCTGATTTCATCTTGTTTTATTCTTCCCAGGTTTGTTTTTTTTTACTAACCAGAATCATGCTGTATGTATTGTTCTTTGATGTGCTTGTTGGAGATGTTCTCAGACTAGCACACTCCTTTTATCCATTCTAAATTCCACAGAAGTAGTGTCACTGTTTGGGTTGCTTCATTCTGCTGTTATAATTATGCCCACTTTCGTGCACAAACTTGAGCACAGGGGCTGGAATTTGAGGGGAAGAGTGCCAGTTTGAGCCCTTGGCAATCTGAGATGAAGGCATGTTGACTTGGCATTGAGCAGGTGGCAGGCCATGCATGCTGACTCGGGCAGAAGGGTGGCTGGACTGTGAATTTGGGACCCACAGGCTGATGGCATTGTGTGTGATGGGGACGTGGCTGGTTTTGCTTTTAAATTTTGTTTTTCTGGGAAACTCGATCTCTCCTTCTATTCTAAATGAAAGCCTTGCTGGATATTCTTGGCTGTAGATTTTTTTTCCTTTTAGCAGTTGGAATTGATCATGCCAGTTCCTTCTGGCCTGCAGTTTCTACTGAAAAACCCACTGATAGCTGTATGGGGTTTCCCTTGTATGTCACTGCTTTCCTTTCTCTTACTGCTTTTAAAAGTCTCTCTTTATCACTACTTTTGGCCATCTTATTTACTTTGTGTCTTGGTGCAGAACTCTTTGGGTTGGTTTTGTTGGGGGCTCTCTGTGCCTCCTGGATCTAGATTTCTCTTTCCTTGCCCAGATTCAGGAAGTTTTTAGCTATTATTTCTTCAGACAAATCTTCAGCCCTCTTTTCTCACTCTTCTCCTTCTGGGATCCCTGTCATGTGACTGTTATGCTTGACAATGTTGCTGAGTTCCCTGGGTCTATTCTCATTTTGCATATTTTTTCCCCTTCTCATCTGCTCAGCTTGATTACTTTCCATGACTCTGTCCTCCAGGCAGCAGATCCATTCTACTTCCTCTTGTTTGCTATTTATTCCAGGTGGTCTATTTTTATTTCCATTTAGTGAGTCCAATAGCTCTAGTTGGTTCTTTTTTATGTCTCCTATCTCTTGGTAGAGGGTCTCATGGAGGGCCTGCACTCCTTCCTCAATTCTAGCAAGTCTCTTTATGAGCATTACTTTAAATTCGTTATCAGACATATTACTTATCTCCATTTCGCTTAGGTCTCCTGCTCTGATTTTGTTCTTTCATTTGGGACATATTCCTCTGTCTCTTCATTCTGTCTACCACCTCTGTTCTTATTTGAGCCTTATCTCTCTCACTGTAACTGCCACCAATACTTGTATTGGATTCCCTTTCTCCATGCTGGTCTGGTGGTATGATCTTTGTAAATTATTAATCTGACCACGCCACTTCTCTACTTAAAATCCTTCACAGGGGCACCTGGGTGGCACAGTCGGTTAAGTGTATGACTCTTGGGCTTAGCTCAGGTCCTGATTTCAGGGTCCTGAGATCATGTCCCACATCGGACTCCACACTCAGCGAGGAGTCTGCTTAAGACTCTCTCTCCCTCTGCCCCTCCCTGCCATGCTCTCAGTCTCTTTCTAAAATAAATAAAAAGGGGTGCCTGGGTGGCTCAGTCATTAAGCATCTGCCTTCAGCTCAGGTCATGATCCCAGGGTCCTGGGATCAAGCCCTGCATCAGGCTTCCTGCTCCGCGGGAAGCCTACTTCTCCCTCTCCCACTCCCCCTGCTTGTGTTCCCTCTCTCGCTGTGTCTCTCTCTGTCAAATAAATAAATAAAATCTTTAAAAAAAAAAAAAATAAAGAAATAAAATAAAGAAATCTTAAAAAAAAAAAAAAAACAGGGGTGCCTGGGTGGCTCAGTCATTAAGCGTTTGCCTTCGGCTCAGGTCATGATCCCAGGGTCCTGGGATCAAGCCCCGTGTCGGGCTCCCTGCTCGGCAGGAAGCCTGCTTCTCCCTCTCCCATTCCCCCTGCTTGTGTTCCCTCTCTCACTATGTCTCTTGCTGTCAAATAAATAAAATCTTTAAAAAAAAATAAAATAAAATAAACACCTTCACAAAGCCTCCTAGCACCTATAGAAGAAATGCTATGCTGTTTAATATATTACAAAACAATCTGTAATCTGGTCCCTGTCAGCCTCCCCAGCAACATCACTCATTAGACCCTCATCTGCTTCTGGTTTCCTGCCCTTATCACCCTTGTTATGGGTCCTGCTCTTTTGCTCTGCCTGTAATTTAGGCTCATCCAGTCCTCTCTCTGCCCCAATTTCAGCTCTTCATCAAACTTACCAACAATTCGGGGCACCTGGGTGGCTCAGTCGGTTAAGCGGCTGACTTCGGCTCAGGTCATGATCCCAGGGTCCGGGGATCAAGCTCTGCATCGGGCTCCCTGTTCAGTAGAGAGCCTGCTTCTTCCTCTCCCTTTGCCTGCTGCTCTACCTACTTGTGCTCTCTATCTCTCTATCAAATAAATAAATAAAATCTTTAAAAAAAAAAACAACCTTACTAACAATTCAACTTTTTAAAAAAATTTTATTATGTTATGTTAGTCACCATACAATACATCATTGGTTTTTGATGTGGTAATCCACGATCCATGGTTTTCGTATAACACCCAGTGCTCCATTCAGTACGTGCCCTCCTTAATACCCATCACAGGGCTAACCAATCCCCCCTACTCCCTCCCCTCTAAAACCCTGTTTGTTTCTCAGAGTCCATAGTCTCTCATGGTTCATCTCTCCCTCCAATTCCGCCCCCCATTTTTCCCTTCCTTCTCCTAATGTCTTCCATGCTATTCCTTATGTTCCACAAATAAGTGAAACCTTATGATAATTGACTTTCTCTGCTTGACTCATTTCACTTAGCATAATCTCCTCAGTCCCATCCATGTTGATGTAAAAGTTGGGTAACAATTCAACTTTCAACTAATTCTTTTTATCCTAAAAAGTGATAGATCCTACAATCTTTAATCCTTAACAAAACATTTGCAAATCAAATCAGCAATATATAAAAAAAGATTAAATACCATGATCAAATGGGATTTATCCCAGGAATGCAAGTTTGGCTTAACATTCAAAATTCAAAAATTGTAACATACCATGTTAATGGAATAAAGGACTAAAAATGCATGATAATCTTGAAAGATAAAGAAAAAGATTTTAACAAAATCCAACACCCATTCATAATTAAAAACAAACAAACAAACAAACTTTTGGGGTGCCCAGGTGCCTCAGGTCATGATCTCAGTGTCCTCAGCTCAAGCCCCATGCCAGGTTCCAGGCTCAGCACAGAGTATGCTTGAGATTCTTTCCCCCCACTCCTCCTCTCCTTCTGCTCCTCCCCCCACTCCCACTCTCTCTCTCTCTCAGATAAATAAAACAAACAAACAAACAAACTTTTAACAAAGTAGGGACAGAAGGGAATAACCTCAACCTGATAAGGGGAATCTACAAAAACCCAGAGCTCACTTCATACTTCATGGTGAAAGATTGATGCTTTCCTCCTAAGATTGAAAATAAATTAATGCTGTCCACTCTCATCAATTCTATTCAATATTTTACTGAAGGTTCCAGCTAGTGCAATAAAGTAAATAATGATAATAATAATTATAATAATAGCATCCAAATTGGAGAGAAAGGAATAAAAGTATTTTTATTCACAGATGACTTACAGAAAATTTCAAGAAATTCACAAAAAATTCTAAAACTAATAAATTAATGTACCAAGGTCTCAAGATACAAGATTAATATATAAAACCAACGGTATTTCTTCATTCTATTGGTGGACAATCAAAATTAAATTGAGAATGACTCCATTTACAACAGCACCGGAAAGAATAAAATACTTGGGGAAAAAAATTAACAAATGTTCAAGACTTGTATTCTAAAAAATATAAAACACTGCTGAGAGAACTTAAAGGAGACCTAAATAAATGAAACGACATTGCATGTTCATGAATTGATAAACTCAATATTGTCAAGACAGCAATTCTACTCAATTTGTTCTATAAATTCAATACAATCCCTATCAGAATCTTAGCAGGACTTTTTGTAGAAATTGGTAAATTAATCCTTATGTGAAGTGAAACAATCATCTAAAAGAAGAACAAAGTTGGTGTCATCATATTACCTGATTTCAAAACTAACAATAAAGCTACAGTATCAAGGCAGTGTAAGAACTTTTAAGATGCACTCTCCTAGCAACTTTCAAATATGCAACACAATATTAATAACTATTGAAGTGCTTGGGTGATTTATTTGGTTAAGCATCTGCCTTCAGCTCAGGTCATGATCCCCGAGTCCTGGGAATGAGCCCCTTGTCAGGCTCCCTGCTCAGCAGGGAGTCTGCTTCTTCCTCTCCCTCTGCCCCGCCCCTCAGTCTCTCTCTCTCTCAAATAAATAATCTTAAAAAAAATACTATTAACTAGTGTCATCAGAAATTTGTACCTTTTGACCTCCTTCAATAGACTCCTTCAGGGCGCCTGGGTGGCTCAGTTGGTTAAGCGACTGCCTTCGGCTCAGGTCATGATCCTGGAGTCCCGGGATCGAGTCCCGGGATCGAGTCCCGGGATCGAGTCCCGCATCGGGCTCCCTGCTCGGCAGGGAGTCTGCTTCTCCCTCTGACCCTCCTCCCTCTCATGCTCTCTGTTTCTCATTCTCTCTGTCTCAAATAAATAAATGAAATCTTTAAAAAAAAATAGATTCCTTCAATTTCTAATACATTAACAGTAAATCCTGGAGGAATTCTACAGAATCCAGATTCAAGCTCAGCAGCAACTGGGGAAACAAATGACAAAGCAAGAGAAAAGCAATTACATTCTCAGATTTAAATACTTTTTCTTTCACTAAAAGTTTAAAAAAATTATGAACTTCAACAGTTCTATTAAAATCTAAATACATGGGGCACCTGGGTAGCTCAGTTGGTTAAGCATCTGCCTTCGGCTCAGGTCATGATCTCAGGGTCCTGGAATGGAGCCCCGCATCTCACTGGGCTCCCTGCTCATCAGGAAGTCTGCTTCTTCCTCTTTCCTCTGCCCCTCCACCCTGCTTGTGTGTGCTCACTCTCTCTCTCTCTTTCAAATAAATAAAATCTTTAAAAAAATAAAATAAAGGGCACCTGGGTGGCTCAGTCATTAAGCGTCTGCCTTCGGCTCAGGTCATGGTCCCAGGGTCCTGGGATAGAGCCCTGCATCGGGCTCCCTGCTTGGCGGGGAGCCTGCTTCTCCCTCTCCCACTCCCCCCTGTTTGTGTTCCCTCTCTCACTGTCTCTCTCTCTCTGTCAAATAAATAAATAAAATCTTTAAAAAAGTGAAAAAATAAAATAAAATCTAGATACATGTAAAGATACACAATAAAATACACAAGTATTAAATATATTTGGACCATATTTGCATGCTGAATCATTTAGTAGTCACCTAGGATCAGGACTACTGGTTTTCTCATTTCCTACTTTATTCATTCGTTTATTAAGCAAATATTTATTGAGGGCACATTTTGTTCCAGGCACTATGACAGGCAATGGAATTATAATGATGAATTAGACACAGCCCTCTGCACAATCTTATCCTCCAAACTGGGAAATGGTAAATAAACAGTGATTTCATTTAACCTGACATGCACTGTGGAGGGTTGGTCTAAAGACAGGATATACAGGAACACAAAGGAGAGGCATTTCTCCCAGTGTTTTGGATTTATTATAAGCCACCATTCTGGTGAGGCTGATACCTGAAGGATGAGGGAAAATTATACAAAACAGAGGAAAGAAACACAAAGAGGTAGAGGAGAACATCTGTGGAATTAGAACTAGTGATCTAATTTGACTGGAGATTTTAAAATGTCAGCCATTAGCCAGAGTACTTCTTGACAGCTATTTGGACTTTAAAGTAATTGCTTGACTAAATGCCACTAGAAGACAGTGTCTTTCTGACCTTATACCATAAACATGATGAGTTGATGATGCCTTATATTGTCAGATAATAGTTTCAGAGTGCAGGCTGACAGTTTCATAGGGAAGACAGAAGGAAAAGGGAAAAGTATAGCCAAAATAGAAAATAGAAAAAAAATAGAAAGGCACACATAGTGATCTTTTTTTAGAGCTTAAATGCTCTGAAAGATCATGAATAAATAAGGAATAATTATATTTTTCAACATGTTAATGTATTTCATTAGATGTGTATAGGATAAAATATTATGTCTTATTCAAACAATAAAATGGGATGCCATTTACTGTTTATAGTTTATCTTAGAAATCAAAGAGATGTAAATTTATTTCCCATATTCCGTCAATAGATCTTCTTCTTTCCAAGTCCTACTCCTTCTGAAATAACAGCCAAATATCATTTAATCATCTTTAAGAGATAATGAAGTAGGAATGATACATTTTAAAACCATTAGTAAGGCTTAGGATTCAGAAAGTTCAACTCAGGCCCTTATTTGGCAGTAATAATAAAAAGATTGGTCATAAAAACTTTCTTAAAAAAAAAAACAAATCAAAACCAGAAGTGAGACTTACAGTTGGGGTGGAGGGAGAGCAGTTTCTTTATTCATTTTTAGGCCTGAAAGAGAGAAATCCTGATAATGGAGTTTGTGGTGGCTGACGTTTTAGAAAGCACAGTTTAGAGAGTACTAATTTATGTCTTCAAAAGTAATAACAAGACTTATTTTGTACAATTTAAACTGAATCCATAGCCCTTTGAGCATATTTTAAATTTAACTCTACATTCAATTGTACTGTTGACTGGCCTTTGAGAAAGGGTGTTACAGTACAAAGAGCATGGCCTGCTGAACCAGACTACCTAGATCAGAAACCCTGTCATGCCGCTTGTCAGCTGTGGGATGTTGCCAAAATCATTTAATCTCCCTGGGTCAGTTTTCTTATGCATAAAGCAGGAATACTTACTTCTAACACAGGGTTGTTGTAAACTTAAATTAAATAAATATCTCCCGTGCTTGGTATTGTCAAACCCTCAATACACTTTTGCCAAGTGAATTAATATTAAACAGGTTAGTGATATTTAATGTCAAGTTAGGACTTTGGACTCCAAAGATAACCTTTTTCTGGTTTTGTTTTGTTTTTAGGGTTAAATAAATTTATTTTTAATTCTTTTGGGGTGTTGTTCCAAATCCCAGAATAAATGACTTTTTAAAAAAATATTGGGGCGCCTGGGTGGCTCAGTTGGTTAAGCGACTGCCTTCGGCTCAGGTCATGATCCTGGAGTCCCTGGATCGAGTCCCGCATCGGGCTCCCTGCTCGGCGGGGAGTCTGCTTCTCCCTCTCCCGCTCCCCGTTTGTGTTCCCTCTCTCGCTGTGTCTTTCTTTGTCAAATAAATAAATAAAATCTTTAAAAAAAAATATTGTATTTATTTATTTTATAAAGAGAGAGAGATAGCAGGGGGAGGAGCAGAGGGAGAGGGAAGGGGAGCAGAGGGAGATTGACAAGGGGCTCAATCCCAAGACCCTGAGATCACAACCTAAGTCAAAACCAAGAGTCAGATGCTTCACCCACTGAGCCACCCACGCACCCCTGGAATAAATGATTTTTAAAAAGATCCAATAAAAAAAAAAGAATCAGAAAATACAGATAAGCTTTTTTTTTTCTTTCTCACACAACAAATTTATTTTCTCACAGTTCTGGAGCATATAAGTCCAACATCAAGTTGTCCGCGGGTGTGGTTTCTTCTGAGGCCTCTCTCCTCGGCTTGTAGATGGACACCTGCTGCCTGTCTTTAGCCGGTCTTCCCTGTGTGCCTGTGTTCTATCTCCTTTTCTTATAAGGACACCACTCATAGTCAATTAGGTCCCACATTAATGACTTCATTTTAACTTAATTACCTCTTTAACCCTATTCCCCATAACAGTCACATTCTGAGATACTGGAGTTTGGGACTTGAGTGCCTGAATTTTGACGGGGTTAAATTCAGCCTGCAATACCCCTCTGCCCTACAACCCTGTGTTACCGGTGGCCTTTCCCCCTTAAAGATGATTCTACTTAGTTTTAGGGGTAGTAAAATAATTAGCGGCTATATTTTAATTATTAGAAACAATTCTGCTAAATAAGAACACAGGCAGTCAGAGCCCAGTGGAAGGGACTTGATAGGGCCGGCGGGGGAAGAACTTCGCAGCCAGTTGGAAAGGAACGCGGGTCAGCGGGTGACCCATACAAACGGCGACAGTCAAAAGCATCTCTGGGCTTTTTAACTCATACATCTTGGGGGTGACCACGTGACGTTCGTGTTCCTGATGACCAGCGAGCCGACCCTGGTACGGGACTTCAGTTTACACAGCACTTTGACAGGCTTTGTCTCTCTTAAGCCTCCTGTCCCCGGGGGGTGAGGCTGGTGGAGATTTGTCAGCGGCCAATTGTTTACTCTGCCAACATTCCAAAGAGCAAAATGTGCCCCTGTCCGGGAGTGTGACTCGCTCCTGGGACAATTACTCAGCGACACCCCGTAGCCCTTGCGCCCCCAATGTAGACTGCCCCGCCCTCTGGACGCATGCGCAGTTGCGGAGCTCTTCCCGCGAAAGAGCTGCGGATACCCCAGGCAGACTCGTCGGTGCGGCAGCGAGAGGGTCTCGCCCGGCTCTACGTCACTTGTGTGCGACGGCGCCTGCGCTGGACACCATGCTGTCAGCCCAGCGGCGAGGTCTGGTGTTCCTACGGCTGCGGCGCCTCAGGAGGTGGCTAGGGCTCGGAACTTCTTCGTTCCTGCGGGGCCTTGGGCGAGAGCCCTTGCAGACAGCCGGGTCACTGTGTTGCGAATCCTCGCCTAGAGACGCACGAGACGGAGAGGGATGGCGCGAAGCGTCACGGAGCAAAGCCCCCAGCACAGAGTCGCCTCCATCTCTCCCTCTGCGCGTCCGAGGCACTGGGATCGGATGTCTTTCGTCACTGGAAGTCCTCAGACTGCCGACGCCAGAAGAGGAGTCACCCTCTCGAGAGCGCGAGGACTCGAGCGGAGACCAGGACCAGCCCGGTCCCGCCCACCAGGGATCCAGGGGTCCCGTGCCTCGCTCCTTGGCCCAGTCTGTGACCGAGGTAGAAGAGCTTCCTGGCTCCTCTTCCTGGCCAGCTTCCAGGGAGGGGCCCTTTCGCGTTGGGGAGCTGATCTTAGCTGAGACTGGGAAGAGAGAAACACAATTTAAAAAATTATTTAGGTTGAGTAACGCCGGACACTTGAATAGTAGCTGGGGGACTGTCCCGTTCAGCGAGATCGTGGGAAAGTTTCCCGGCCAGATACTGAGGAGTTCTTCGGGTAAGCACCTCAAGCTGAGGAGGCCGGCATTGGAAGACTATGTATTACTGATGAAAAGAGGGCCTGCCATAACGTATCCTAAGGTAATGCGGTGGGAGTTGGGTGCGTATTGGTTCCAGAAAGAGCAGAACTACAGTCCTGATTCATGTACTTAAAGCACATCTCAGAACGTGTGATGTTTTTATGTTCTCGGACTTAAAAAACAAAACAAAAAATAATGGATGTGACTTTTACATATTTTATGATTGCGAATTTTAGGACGAAACAGCCACCTTTTCATTTTAATTTGAGAGTGTTCATTCACCTGTAAAGTGAAAAGAATATTGACCTACTATGTAGAGTTATGTGAACTAATCAGGCACATAATAAGTACTTATATTTGTTCCCCATAACCGTTAAGTTTGCAAGTTCAGGACTCGAGAATGTTCAACTCTTTTGGTACCATTATGGAGATATTTTAATCATCATTTAATTAAATAAAGCATGTTACTAGGGGTATGTTTTATCAATGATAGATATGTTACTGTGCTTTTCTCTTTAGGGAAAAAATAGTGTTTTGTATTAAAACAGCTAACACTAAACGTACGAGAAATATTCTTTATAATAAATTAACTGCTTAGTTTCTTGTTACAACTTTATACTAATCATCCACTGCTAGTGGTTTATTTCAGTTCTTAATCATATTCACAGTCCTTGAGTAGAATGTTCCTTTGTAACAACCCTTCCTATCCCCAGATGAGGAGTCCTTCGTCATTTATTCAGCAAATAATTGCCTATCTTCTATATTCAGGGCACTATTATAGGCACTGTTATAGGTGATGAGCCCCAGTCCTTGCTCTCAACCTAGATGTTACATCCTAGAGGAAGTGACAGAGAACACACAAGTAAATGAAAGGATAGGATAATTTCAGGTAGTGCTAAGTGCCACGAAGACAAATAGATTAACAGTGACATGCTGGGGTGACCTGGGGGAGGAGAATGCTTTATGTCAGATGGTTAAGGAAGGTCTCAAAAGAGGTATGTTTGATAAGAAACTTAATGTAAGGAAAAGCCAGCCGTGCAGAGATCTAGGAGCCCAGTGTTCTTGCAAAGGGAAGAGTAGTGCAGAGATGCTATTATGGCTTGAGTGAGTTAGGTGAGGGAGAAAGTGGTATGAGATGTGGTTATTCCATGTACATTGGGTACCATTGGAATGTTCTAAGTAGGAATCCAATTTATGTTTTAAAGGGTCTACCAAGGGACAAAGAAAACCTTTTAGGAGACTTTAAGCAAGTGGGGTATCATAAACTCTTGACGGAAACTTTGTCTTTTTCTTACTTTGTCTTTCCCTTTTTTTTTTTTTTTAAGATTTTATTTATTTATTTGACAGAGAGAGACACAGCGAGAGAGGGAACACAAACAGGGGGAGTGGGAGAGGGAGAAGAAGGCTTCCCGCCTAGCAGCAAGCCCGATGTGGGGCTTGATCCCAGGACCCTGGGATCATGACCTGAGCCGAAGGCAGACACTTAACACCTGAGCCACCCAGGTGCCCCATTACTTTGTCTTTCCTCTTTTGACTGTTCCAATCTAGCTACCAAAAAAAGACTTTTGTAATTTCATGTTGCTTCTCCACATCTTTTTTCCTCTCCATTAGACAAAACTGAGAGAATAGTTGTATTTTATACAGTTATAAAGATGAATCTTTAGTGCACTTTCTGCGTTTCCATTTGTAACAGATAAAAGTCACGGTCCTCCACCCTAAGGAGGTATTTACTTATTTATTTATTTATTTAAAAGATTTTATTTATTTATTTGAGAGAGCACAAGTGGGGAGGAGAGGGAGAAGCAGGGAGCCTGATGCGGGGCTCGACCTGAGCTGAAGGCAGATGCTAACCAACAGCCACCCCAGGTGCCCCTCTATCCTAAGGAGGAATTTAAATACTGGATATGCTAGATGTTGACTTCTCTTTTATTTCCCAAGAGGTGGCTGCAGGAAATTTGACTTCAACCTTTATAACTTTGAAATGCTTTTTAAGAGAGTACCTCAGTTGTTTTGAAAGCTGGTCTCCGTGTTAGAATTACATAGTTTTGCCTTAATAGTAAAAGTAGGTCTGTGGGAGTAATTTCATTTTTTTTGTGGGAGTAATTTTAAATAAACTTCCTAACAGATACTTCGGAAATGTCAAAATTTCACATTGGTTAGTATTAAGCACTTTTAGGTTTGGAGTAGAAATATAAATGGAAACACTCCCCAAATTTTATTTTTTATTTTTTTATATTTTAAAAGATGTTTATTTTATTTGAGAGAGAGAGAGAGCGCGTGTGTGTGGGGAAGGCGGAGGGAGAGGGAGAGAATCTCAAGCAGACTCTGTGCTGAGTGTGGAGCCTGACACGGGCTTGATCTCATGAACCTGAGATCAAGAGTCAGACGCTTAACCGACAGAGCCACCCAGGCGCCCCCACTCCCCAAATTTTTAAATTAAACTTTTCTGCTGATGTGCATGATTGTAGCACTTACAGAAGAACAACTGGGGAATAGAAATTTTTGCAACTTAATGAACCCTAAAGTGCAGCCTACTTATTAAAACTTTAGGCTGGGGCGCCTGGGTGGCTCAGTCGGTTAAGCGACTGCCTTCGGTTCAGGTCATGATCCCAGGGTCCTGGGATCGAGCCCCGCATCGGGCTCCCTGCTCTGCGGGAGGCTTGCTTCTACCTCTCCCACTCCCCCTGCTTGTGTTCCCTCTCTCGCTGTCTCTCTCTCTCTCTGTCAATTAAATACATAAATAAAATCTTTAAAAAAAATAAAACTTAGGCTGAGGATTAGATGTATATTACTGAATTAATCAGGAGATTGGAATTCATGTTGAGAAAAAAAATGGAAGTTTGAAAGGGTTGTTGTTACCTGAAGTTCTAAAATGTGCAGAAAACTCAATAGAAGAATGATAGTTTGTAACTTTGAAGGACTCTCCCAATAGCTTTAAATCCCTTTTGGGAAGAGGCAGGGAAATTAATAAATGCAAATGTCCCACCTAAGTTTTGAATTGAAAGTGCTAGGAGGTATATAGTGAAATAAAGTCTAGAAAACTCATCCCAGGGCGCCTGGGTGGCTCAGATGCTTAAGCGTCTGCCTTCGGCTTGGGTCATGATCCCAGGGTCCTGGGATCGAGCCCCGCATCGGGCTCCCTGCTCCTTGGGAGCCTGCTTCTCCCTCTGCCTCTCTCTCTCTGTCTCTCATGAATAAATAAATAAAATCTTAAAAAAAAAAAAAAAGAAAACTCATCCCACTGATACCATGTAACCTGAATAGCAGGAAGCAAAAGCTAAAGTGTGCTTGTTTTTTATTTCATAATAGTAGGGTTCTTTATCATATAAATGATCCAAAAAAATTGAACTGCCTTCTGCAGGACATTCCATTGATACGACTACCTAAACTGCTCCCACTTCTGTGGGTGCCTGGCATGTGGGAGGAGATATGTATGTCTGAAAGACTCAGCATTTGTGAATGAAACTTTTGGACTAATACATCTTAAAAATTACGTGTCTGTATATCATTTGGTCCAAGCCTTAGCCCTGCATTTTAGAAAATACATTTTGGCTTTTAATTAGACAACTGTACCTGTTAAACATTTTCTTATGCAACCAAACATATATTTAATATACAATTTTTTTTTTTACTCAAGAGGATCCTAGAAACCTCCTCTTTAAGAATTTTCACAGTAGGGCGCCTGGGTGGCTCAGTCGTTAAGCGTCTCCCTTCGGCTCAGGTCATGATCCCAGGGTCCTGGGATCGAGTCCCACATCGGGCTCCCTGCTCGGCGGGAAGCCTGCTTCTCCCTCTCCCACTCCCCCTGCTTGTGTTCCCTCTCTCGCTGTGTCTCTCTCTGTCAAATAAATAAATAAAATCTTTAAAAAAAAAAAAAATTTTCACAGCAGCTTTTTCCAGAGAAGGAAAAGCTAGTAAAAACTTACCAGATGTGCTGCTTATTTATTAGCAACTTTGAAGGTTCAGATGGGGGAGTGTTGAAATAAATGCTAATGTTTAAAATTCTCTATATAACATGTGGTGTAGTGTAATGATCAACGGCGTGGTCTTTGTGAGTTCAACATCCATTCTACTCCTGACTTCCGCACTTAATTCCTGGCTGTGTGACTTTGGGGAAATTACTTAACGTCATTGATTTGTCTTTGTAATGGGGATGATGATATTTT